GTGGATAGATGAGTGGATGGGTAGATGGGTGGATGGATGAGTGGATGGATGGATGGGTGGATAGATGAATGGATGAGTGGTTTGATTGTGCCAGCTTTTCTATCTTCTGCCCTGAGACCCACTCAGAAATCCTTAATATGAGATATGATTATTCACTTCAATCAATAGACATCAATTAAGTACTTGGGGTAAGTAGGGAGGATGAACTGCTGTTAGGGTGCTTATAGTCTAATGGGGGAGAAGAGGAGGAGCAGGACAAATGTACGAATAAATGTGTGGAGAAGAAAGGCCCAGAAAAAATGCTATAGGCATTCAAAGAGGGAAAGCTCACTTTCGGCGGGGGAGCTTTTGGGAGAAGTGGTAACCGACTCAGACCTTTAAGGAAGATGGAATGGAGGTCATAGAGGACAGGAGATGGACACGGGCAGGGTGAGAATGGGGCATCAAGAGTAATGCAGTTTTACTGATGCATCAACTAAGTGAGGGCGCAGGTAGGTTGCTCAGTGGTTAGAGTACTGGTCCTGGAGCCAGGAAGATGTGAGTTCAAATCTGGCTTCATGCACTTCTAGCTGTGTGACCCTGGGCAAGTCACTTAACCTGTTTCTCTTAATCCACTGGAGAAGGAAATGGCAAACCACTACAGTATCTTTGCTGGAAAACCCAGATAGACCCATGGGGTCACGAAGAGTTGTACGTGACTGAACAACTAAACAACAACAAGAATAAGTGAAGGGAAGTAGTATGAAATCAGAATGGAGCCTGTCGTTTTATAGGAGGCTTGGAATGGTTGGCTTTGGGAAGATGGCTTATCTGTAATATAGAAGATATAGTAAAATGCGGAGGGGTAAATTGAAGGCAGATTGGAGGGAATGGTTCTGAAGCTTCTAAAAATCTCCCTGAAGTTTGGATTGTGCTCCTGTCAGAGGCAATAACAAATTTCCTTCCCAGTTATCCCTCCCTCTTCCCTGGTGAATTGTCAGAACGCTCCTCTGAAGCTTGCTGCAATCAGAGGGATCCTTTCTTCCAGGCTGCCCTGGAATGGAGTGCTTCACCAATTATGACCAAAAAGCAAATTGCCAATGAGGAGAGAGTCCCTTTCTTGGATCGAGTCTGAGACCGTGCCTCCGTTAGGTGTTTGTTGGGTGTCGTAGTTGTAGCGGGAATGAATTCCAGCTCTGATTGAAATTTGAGGGCTGGTCTGGAATGGATCCTAGAATATATGAAGGTAGTCGTTAGTGACCCATCTAATTTATATTTTGTGTGTTTTCTTTTTAAAGCAATACAATGTCGAGATGCTTTCAAGCCCTGTGTAAATGAAGGAAAATGTGTTACCTACAATAATGGTACAGGATACTGCGAGTAAGTACAACCTGAAGTTTCTAGTCTTTCTACAACTACGTCTTTCATCTACAACTTTCTCTCATCTTTTCCCAAAGATTTAGAACACTAAATTAGATTTGTTCCATTATTTCATTCTTCAATATTTAAATTGGATGTAAAGGGATTTTTTTTTTGACCAATAAAAGAGATTTTTCTTTTGGGGGGATGGGTTGGGAATATTTTTTAGGGGATGGGTTGGAAATATTTTTAGACAAATTTGAGAAGTTAACTATATCGTATCTCGATTGTCTCTACCCCTGTTTTTCCTTTGCTTGTTAAATAACCCCTTGTAGTAAGTAAGCATTAGCTATCTTCAAATTTGATGGGTTTGTCTCCTGAAAGAGGGATTAGGTTTATTCTACTTGGTCCCAGAGAGTCTGCTCTCCAGGAGCAATGGATATAAAAGTTACAAAGAGGTAAATGTAGGCTTGCTGTAAGGCAGAATTGCTAACAGTTACAGGTATTCAAAGGTGGAATGGGACTGCCTTGGGAGGTAGTGAGCCATCCCTCACTGGAGGTTTGCAAGTAAAGGCTGCTTGCCTATTTTCCAAGCATATTGTAAGAGGGGATTCTTGTTCTCTGTTGGATAAGGTGGCCCTGGAGACCTCCAGACCTCTTTGGAGTTTTTGATTCTGTAACTCATTGATTCCAGATTCTATAGTTGGATCCAATTTCTCCTTCCTGTCATCTAAGTCAGATCCTTAAGCCAGACCCATCAGCCTTGTGCCAGTCTCTAAAATCCAATTTAAATACTCGTTTTAGTTCTCTGTATAAATAAACCCTACGGTGTTGTGAGACTGAGGTCAGAGCCCTTTTCTTTCATGCTCCAAACCCACATGGCCATGTTCTTCTTCCTCTCTCCCTCCCTTTTCCCCACACCTGCTTGGAGTCTAGACCAGTAGCCCAAGAATGGCCAGTTTCTTCCTTCATACAGCCATGATTGCTACAAACTCAGTTTTATAACCAACCATTCTGGTATTCCTGAATGGGACATTATGGTTTCATCTGCTGATCACCATGTGTCCTCCACTTCCACAATATCCTGGGTATGAATTTCACTCTACAGCAACACATTTCCAATTTTGTAATGGAAATTAATGGCAAAATAAGGATTGGTATGTGGAATTTCTTGTTTTGCTAGCAAAAAAAACCCTTTAAAATGGTTTAACATTTTTCTTCTAAACTTAGTAACCATTAACAAAAGCAAACATTCCATCAGTTAAGAAAAATAAAAAAATAATTATACATAAAACTATAAATTCTAAGTTTATTTTCAATTTATTTTTAAAGAAAACATTAACTTTAACAAAATAATAACAGAAATGTCCAATTTTTTCTGTCTTCTTCTGATCTCTTTTCCTTGTATAGTTTAAAAAAATTCTGATGTCGCTGTTATAAATATATAACTGTAATTTTTTTTTACCTTGTTAGAGACTTTTATAGCTGGAAGAAACATTAGAGGTCAAAGGGTCATAGATTTAGGGCTGAAGGGGAACTCAGAGAACATCTGGTCCTACCACCTTACTTCACAGATGAGGAAACCGTGGCCCACAGAAGTTGTTAAGTGACTTGCTGAAGGTCACACACAGAAGTCAAGTGGTAGGCGTCAGGGGTGAAATTGAAACCCAGGTCTTCTGACCCAGAACTATCACCGTTTGTATTGTACTCAACTCCAGTCCCTTCATTTTACTGATGGGGATACCTATCATGCATATTGTTTTGATTCCGATTCATCTAGATCTTCAGGTATCTCCTTGTAGTCTTATTGGCATGTAATCTGCCATTACATCCATATGTAACAGTCTTTTTTAGCTGTTCCCCCAGTTGTTGGGAACTTTGCACATTCCTTCTATATTTTCTAGTTATCGTACAACTTGATAAACACATGAAATGATAAATAAAATAACTTATAAATAAATAAAATAACATTCGCATAATAAAACATTATTTACAGGGTTACAGAGTACTTTTACATACAGTATGTCATTTCGAGTTTCACAAAAGTCCTATCGAGATGAGTTAGGCTAATTTATGGTCGTCTTAACTTTTTAATCTGTAGCTACTGCCTAATAATGATTATACATCATAAGTGAATTTATAACAATTTTTCAATCAGTCTTCTTAGGCATTTGGATTTGGAGTTTTAGTGCTAGAAAATGAGCCATTTTTAGGCAGAAAATACTCTTTTTAACTAAAACAGCTAGGTGGTCAGCCCTGGAGACAGGAGGACTTAAGTTCAATTGTGGCTGTGTTACCCTTGGCAAGTCACTTAATCCTGTTTGCCTCAGTTTCCTTATTGGTCAGATGAACTGGAGAAGGAAATGGCAACCCACTGCAGTATTCTTGCCAAGAAAACTCTAAAAGAGGTCACAAAGGATTGGATATGGTGAAAAACCACTTAATAGCAACAGCAACTCTTTTTAACTAAATATGAACATTTCTTTGAAGGTGGTATAACAGCAAGTCATGCTTGCACATCGTTTACATTGGAATAAAAGGTAAGGTTATAAATTGGTTACCCACTAAATACCATCTAAAAATAGTGGTCTGCTGATTTATTTATTTGGCTAGAGAAACAAGTGGGATACTTTTTTGACCAAGAATGGAGGAAATGATAGAGAAAGAGAAGAGTAGTAGTCAAATCTCACGCCTTTAGAACTGGTCTGCTCTCTTGTTTGAACTACCTGCTTTATGTTCTGACTTTTTAGTAACTACGCCTTTGACTTGGATAATGAGTACTGTCATCCCTTGAGAACTTGATTCTTTTGTACTGGGTCTAGTACAGTGCTCCGTGCAGGTAGACATTTCACAGATGCCTTTTTGAATGAGTTTGTAAGTGAATATCTACGTCATCAGCTGTGATGGAGAAGAATGGAAGTGCCTCTGTTGACTGTAGCATAACTTCTGTCTGCTCTATGTTTATCAGGAGTGCTTTGTTTGAACTTTGTGAAAACATATGGTGTTCCTATAAGAATAATTTCAGACTGCTGTCATGTGGAGTCTTGCATGAAATCTGTTTATGATACACTTTCTCTTGGGCCCCTAAGAGGCAGCCAGGGACAGTGGAAAGGGGTACTGAATTTGAAACCCATGGGCTTGACCCCAGTTCTTTTCCATTATCTCTGTCATGTTGGGCAAGCCAGTTAATATCTCTGGGTTTCACTTTTCTTATCTAGATCAGTGGTGTCAAACTCAAGTCGAAGCTTATAGCTGCATAAATTTGCTTCAGAAAGCAAAAATTCACATTATCTATGTTGTATTGTATTTTTAAAAAAAAATTTTTGTCAAACATTCCCCAATTACATTTTAATCTGGTTCCAGCCACACTGAGGAGTTTTGTGACCCTTCTTCTTTATGTCTTCTCTGGGGTTTCTTCTAGCTCTAAACCCTTTGATCTGAATAAGACTTAGTTGGGCCATAAAATCTGTTGAGTTTTAGAAGAATAATGTTGCATAGATGCAGAATTATTAAGAGCTCTCAAGTAACAGCATTGATAATAGTTATTATCATAATGTGTATTTTCAAAGTGACTTTTTTTCTTCTGGAAGAAAAGGAAATACTGGAACTCAGCTCATCAGTAAATAATATGAAGGAAACAGCTCACCCAAAGCACATAGTAGTAAGTGAAAATTAGAACGTTTGGCAGGCTGACAAAAACCTGTATCAGGCATCCCGGGCATGTAAGAGTCTGCCTGTTTTAAGAGACTGCTATGTGGATTTTTAAAAGGAGAAGCCAAATCTTTAGCATGGAGGGTAGGATTTGAGAGAAAATACCTGCAAAGTAGCAGGTATCTGAAAAGACTTTCTTTTCAAAGAACATAATGCTCCTGATTCAGCTAAAATATAATGATTGTTTATGGAAATTACAGAAGTCCCTGATAACATCATGCTGACAGATGAGGATAAGTGAGGGCTTTTATATTCTTTTCATAAACACCTCAATTGTTTTTTCTTGCTGTTAGGAGTCGTTGTGTCCTGTTAATATGTCAGTAGACCAGGATACAAAGCTGGGGGAAACCTGTGTGATCATGTACACTCTTCAGCTACTGTGGCTAATGTGTTCTTGTGAGATCTTAATAAAACCCTTGTGACTGTGCCGATGTCAACTGTGTAATGTTGTGCGTTGTTTCAGGGGAAGTTGTCTCTCCCAAATCTATAATTGTTTGCAACCTCTTAGTAACTTGTAAGTTTTTCTCTAAAATGTAAATGCACAGAACATTGCTAAGTCAACAAGCATTTATTAAGCACCTACTGTGTACCAGGCATAGTCCTAAGCATTAAGGATACAAAGAAAGGCCCTCCCCAAAACCCCCAAACCCTAATCTCTGTTTTCAAGAAACTCACAGTCTAATGCAGCTGAAGTTGGGTGGGATGGTGGGGAGAGGGATGGGGAACTTTAAAAATGTGGATTTTTTAGTGTGTGCTTTTAAAAGATTTTTATTTATTTATTCCCTTTCATGTGTCTTTTGGAGGGTGAAACTAAGATTCCAGAAAGATTCATAAGATCCTAGCTTTAGATCTGAAAGGGAATATCAGAAATCAACTAGTCCAAACTCCTTATTTTCCAAAAAGGTAAACTGAGGCTTGGACCAAGTCACATAAAAGAATCGGGGTGGCCTTTTCTTCTCTTCCCCATGTGTTTGGCCCACATTGATTCTCTCCATCTATACATCAGTGTTGGATATTCATTTTCAAAAACGTTTGGTTCAGAAGTCTCTGATTTGATGATGGGGCTCTGTTTTTAAGTGATGATGACTCATTTTGAAGACCCCAGTAAGTTGGTGGACCACCTATTGATTGAGCTCTCACTTTTTAGTGCTGGCTGTGCTGCCAACTTTGTGTGATCTTGGACAAATCATGTGACTCCTCTGGGTCTCAGTTCTATCATCTGTAGATTGGGAATAAATACCACAAATTAATTCCTTCAAAGATCACATGAGGAAATCTGTATGAAAGGCTTTGAAAACTGTAATGTGTAT